CACACACACACACACACACACACACACACACACAAAACATCTTCCCTTGTCTGCCCACATCAAGAAAAGATGTCATTGGGGACTGCCATAATTAAAAAAAGTCACAATATCTGTTAGGGGGGGGCAGCTCAGTGGATAAAGGGTTTTTGTGTGAGATGAAAACCCGAACTTTGACCCTGGGCACCCATGCCAAGCAAACAACAGTCTTGTAATGGTAACACTTGGGACCCCTCATCCCCCAAAGCTGAAATGCCTACAGGAGGAGGCGGGATGGAGAGGGCTCTGAGCCGTTTTGGTGACAAAAGTAGCCCAGTGAGCCAACGGCACCGCCACAGAAACACTTGCAGCCGTCACGCTGGGGCCTCTTACTGCACCTTTCGCATGGTCCTTGTCCAGCTGGCTGGCCACTTTCTTCCACTCTTCCATTTGCTCTTGAAGGGGGTTTATCAGGCAGTCAATCAAAGCACTTTTGCCAAAAGATAAAGAAAGGGAGAGATTAAACGGGCACTTCCTGTTGTCAAGGTGCATGCTGGGTAGTGGGTGTGGTGGCGCTCCCCTGTCATCCGGTCCAGCACTTCAGGGGCGAGACAGAAGGATGGGCAGTCTGAGGCCAGCCTGGGCTACATAGCAAGACGCTCCAAAGGATTTACATTTAGTGTTCAAAACACACTTCAGTCATCCCCCGGAAGCAAGTGAAGGCAGTGTAATGACCCACCATTGCCTCAAAGGCCCCAGCTTCAGAGCAGCCCTGGTCTCAGAATGCTTTTGATGACTAAGAAGTTATAAATATATAATAAACATACTACACAGTTATAAATATGCAAGCTGGGTGATAGCACACACCATTAATCCCAGCACTTGAGAAGCAGAGGCAGCTGGATCTCTGAGTTCAAGGTTAACATAGTTCACACACTGAGTTCTAGGCCAGCCAGAGATATCTTGTGAGCCCTTGGCTCAAAAAATAAAAAAATAAAATAAATAAAACATAAAAACAACCACATAAAAAAGACATAATGTGCCCAGCTAGAGTGACCTCTTCTCATATCCTCTGCTGTCTTCCAGCCCTCGTTATTAAAGGCGGGTCACAGAAACCTGGGGTCACTCCTCTAGCCACATAGTGGGAACCACCAAGAGGCAGGGACACCCAAGATGAACTCTGCCCCTTCTAAAATTCGGGAGACGGAGAAATCTTTTTTTTTTTTTTTTTTTTTTTTTTTTAAAGAACCCAGGTGTTACAGGCACTCAGAACCTAAAATCCTAAAGACACAGTGACTGCACAACTCGGGCAAGGAGAAAGATGAAGAGACCAGAACATTCTCAAGCTGCAGGTGCCAGTTTCTAATCAACAGCAAAGAGGAGAAGTCTGGGTACAGCCTTGTATTCCACGCATCCCTCAAAGAAAATGCCAGGACAATGCTGAATTAAAGCTGATCTGCTTGGGACACAAGGGCCATTTGTATTTGACGGGGGACTCTAAATTCCTGAGCCAGCCACTGCCACTTCACCCAACTCCTGGTGCCTAGTAACTGGTGCAAAGATGGCTCTGAGGTCCACTCCCTCTTGGTGGCTCTGTAATCAGAATATGGGCCTGGGGGACAGGGCAGTGGGGCAGGCATTATCTCACTCCTCCCAAGAGGTCCTGCAGGCAGGGGGCTCAGTGTGCATCATCTCCAGGACTGGTGGGTGATAAGGAGAGCCGTGGGTGACATGTGAGCGATCTGAGGGCAAGCACGGGCTCCTCTGAGGGCGGGGCCTGGACTAACGGTTCTCCACCGCCATGTCAGCCAGCACACAGCCGTCCCTCGGTGAATAATAAGCAGGAGAGCAAAGGACGGGTTGTAGGGAGAAAGACTGAGGCCCAGCCACTGCATCCCTAGCCCAACCCTCTGGGATGCACCAAGGGTGCTCCTCACCTGGAGAACTGCCTCAGCTTGGCCTCGATGCTTCTGTGGCGCATACACATTCTGGTGAGCGCTGAGCCGATCTCCCGGGTGCCACCTGCAAAAGCGGAGGAGGCTCAGGTGAGGGAACAGGGATGGAAACACAAGCCAGGTCAGGTCGTATCGCACCATCGCAGACCCGAAGCTACTGCCTTCACAAGTTCCCAGTGTCCGTGTGCATGCGCTAATACAAACACAGAGCCACAGACTGGGATGGGCGTAGTGGCCCCAGCACTTAGGGAGAGGAAGCAAGCAGTCAGCTAGATGTTTGAAGCCAGCTGGGGCTAAACCTGTATCAAAAATATATAAACAAACTGGGAACTTTTCCCAGAGGCCAGCAGATCCTGTGAGCTATGGGCCAGCCTGGTCTACACAGCACGCTCTAGACCTGCCAGCGCTGCCGGGGACACACTCTTTCAACAACAGCAATAATGTTCTACATCCAGCTCCCAGCAGGCTGCTTTTCCAGGGAGATTGCCCAGAGTCAGCCAGGGTTTCTGATAATCCTGACACTTGTGGTGAGGCTGTCCTGGGTATTGTCAGTTAGCAACATCTTGGACTGGACCCACCTGGAGCCCGTAACAGGATCCCCTTACTATACTCAGACTTGAGTATCCGCAAATATCTCCAGATATTTCAGGGTTTTCCCTGAAGAATAAAACTCCCACTTTACTGCTCATCAGTGCTATAAAACCTTGGGCAAGACACAAATGTAATCCCAAGGCTGGTTTGACATCTAAATGGTGCCTCTGGGGGCTGAGGTCGTAGGTCGGTTGGAAGAGTGCTTGCCTAGCCTTTGGGCTCCATGAAACTGCCATGGTGGTACACACCTGTAATCCTAGCACTCCAGAGATGGAGGCCGGACAACCAAAAGTTCAAAGCCATTGTCAGCTATACAGCCAGTTCAAGGCCAGCTCAGGATAGCAGAGACTCTGTGACCCCACCACCACCACCCATCAACCACCACCACCCCCCCAACACCTATTTCCGGGCACCTACAGTCTACAAAGTGTCTGTGCCTTCTCAGAGATCACCAGCAGAGGGCGCAGTTCTCAACGCTCCACTGTCTTCCCGCCCTCTGCTGGAGGTTTGAGGGGTTTTATTGCTCACAAGGGTGAGGAATGAGGAGCACTTTATCTTTTTCCTGCGCCTTCTTCATCTGATTAAAAGTTAAAAATGAGGCCGCACAAGAATACTGGCTCACTTACTCACTGCTCCCGGGAAGGTAGACCAAGTCCTTCCTGGAAGGGAGCAGCGGCAGCTATCAAGAAATAACCTAAAAATAGCCCTCTCTGACCCAGCAATTCTAATCCTAAGAACCGAGCCTGAGGAAATAATTAAGGAAAATGGTGAATCCTCACCTAGGAGGGCAATGATTGAAATGTTTACAACATCAAAAACATCCCATAACAATGATCTAGTTAAATGAACCATGGGGCACAGACCCCCAGCTGAATGGGACGCCACAGCTGTTTAATGACAGAATTGTGTGTCGCTGGGGTGCTGCTTAGAATGCACAGGTAGCAGCCTAACAACTTTCCACACGTTAAATCATTCAGTCCTCACAGTATTCCGAGTTGTGTTCATAATGTTACCAGGCCCGTTTCACAGACAGAAGTACTTCCAGCACTATGTCTGAGGTTATAGGCCTAGGAAATGACACTCCATCACCTGAATCTTCAGGGCGTGTGTTGTCAGCCACGCTCAGGCATGTGACAGGAATGACAGGAAGGGGCAGAGAGCCCGGCGGGAGCCCAACTTCTTCCTTTACCCACTAGCACGGGTGGAGGGATTTTGTTCAGCCGGCTGTCAAGGTTTGGTTCTTGAGTCTAGAACTGTAATGTGTGCCTGCATGGCCAGAATCTGTCCCAGCAGCCAGCACAGACAGCTGAGGGTTGGGGTCGACTCAGGACCTAATGAAAGGTTCAGGCATCATGCTGGCCTGTCCCTGTCACCTGGCAGAATCCACTCAGGCGGTACCCCGGTCAGCCCAGGGTTCCATGGGAACTAAGTCTGCACGCAGGT